CACAGTACAACAAACCCTGAGTTTTGCCTTTACTCATAAATGGTTCAAGACTTCTTGTTCTTTACAACAGGAACAAGGATGGAGACCTTTTTTTTTTTTGGTCGGTCATGGGGCCTGAGCGCTGCCCCTCTGCTCTTCAGCTCAAGGCTAGCGCTCTACCACTTGAGCCACAGTGCTACTTCCGGCCTTTTCTACTTATGTGGTGCTGAGGAATCGAACCCAGGGCCTCATGCATGCAAGACAAGACTCTACTACTGAAGCCACCTTCTCAGCCCCAGGATGGAGACCTTTAAAATTACCAACACTCAACACTAGGTTCAGTAGAAGTCATAATATCATACAACAGTAGACTACAATGTCCCAAGAAAACTGACCCTCTGTTCAGCGCTGATGGCCTCAATGAATTAAGGTTGGATTATGTAACAAAATCTTACGATTAAGCCAGAAAGAAGGCAACCTGTCACACCATAGACAGACTTAGCAACCGGAAGAGGTATTTAAAGACACAGCCATGTTAATTAATGTTTTGTGGTCATCGGCCTCAGGCAAAGACAAGCCCCAGACATTAAGTGAAACTGGAGCTGATGGGAAAGGAAGAAACGAGTCCTGGAGTTTTCAAAACAAAACTTGAATTCAAACCAACAGTTCCCATGGCTGTGTGGAAGTTTCGGGGGATAGCGTCCTACTTTGCATTAAGAAATTATGTAAGAGGCGGCCTGGAGAAAGGGATTATTCACTACCAGGCCCAGATGAGCTCCGTTGTGCATGCATTTAGAACACTGTTTTCTCTGTCTGCAAATATTGTTCCACATTCCAGTCCTTTTGATAACCTTATCCTTGCAGAGCAGAGCCGAGAGCCGCTGCCTCCGAAGCTGGTCTCCCAGAGTACAGTGATGAGGCCGGTGGCCACAAATAAGGGACAAGAGAATGTATGAATGAAGGAAGGAAGGAAGGAAGGATAAGCTAGGTTGTCCATCAACTACTGAAATTTGTTTTAAAAATGAGAATTAGGTTAGGTGCCAATGATTTACACCTGTAATCCTAACGACTCAAGAGGCTGAGATCTGAGGATCCAGGGTTAAAGCTAGCTAAGGCAAGATAAATCCAATTAACCAGTAAAAAGTTGGAAGTGGAGCTGGAACTCAAGTGACAGAGCATCAGCCGCGAGTGAAGAAGCTAAGTTAGATACAAGGCCCTTAGTTAAAGCTTCAGTGCTGAAAAAAGTTAGGCATGGTCGCGTATGCTTGTAATTCTAGTGACTCAGGAGGCAGGGGAAAGAAGCTGATGGTTCAAAGTCTGTTTGGGCAAGTGTGAGATCCTATATGAAAAATAAATGAAGGCCAAAAGGGCAGGGGTGTGGCTAAAGTGGCAAAACACCCACCTGCCTGCTCAAGGTCCTCAGGGTAGATCTCAGCACCATGTCTCCCTACAAAAACCAGGCTTGTAGGAAGATCCTGAGTCTCTTAAAATTCATGCACACGCATTTCTCCTTCCTCTCCCCCTGTGACTCTCCCCTATAGCACCAAGTTCATTCAGGTATGTTGATCCTGGTGACTATTTATTTGATGCTGGTCCTGGAGCTTCAACTCAGGTCCTAGGTACTGTCTCTTAAGCTTTTCCACTCAAGGCTGGTACTCTATTCCTCGGGCAATAGCGCATTTCTGGGTTTTCGCTGGTTAATTCTTGATAAGAGTCTCACATACTTTCCTGCCCAGGTTAACTTCCAACTGCAATCCTCAGATCTCAGCCTCCTGAGTAGCTAGGATTACAAGCATGAGCTACCGGCGCCCAGCTAGGTGAGGACATCTTTAAAGCAGAGAAGATGAGTTGTGTGGAATAAAGCAGGTAAGGTAATCTGTGGGGGAACGTGAGAATCCTTCTGGAAAATTGAAGGGAGAGGGTGAGACTTGAAGAGCTGCCTGCCCGGGACTCATGGCTCCCATGGCTGCTCAGTAAAACACCGATGAACACCTGCTACCGTGGGATGCAGGAAGTCACAGTGTCTGGAGTCACCTGCAGAGCTCATGCTGGCGGGCATTGGTAGCCAATCCTAGCTACTCAGGAGGCCAAGATCTGAGGATGGAGATTTAGGTCCGTGTGGGCAGAGAAAGTCTGTGAAACTCTTATCTCCAATGTACCATCAAAAGCTCAGAAGTGGAGCTGTGGCTCAAGTGGTAGAGTGCCTGCCTTGAATAGAAAAGCTGTAAGACAGTGACCAGGCCCTGAATTCTAGTCTCAGTACTAACACACACACACACACAGGCACACACACGCACGCACATGCACACATGCACAGACACATATACACAATTTAAAAAGCTAATTTATTTTCAGTGTAGGAACATTGATTAATGTATATCACATTAATGGCTTAAAAGAAGCAAAAAATATTTAGTGATACTCAATATGAAGCCAACCTTTTTTCTTTTTTTTTTTTAAAGGTAACTTCTTGGCTAAAATAGAAGAGGAAAAAATTCTTTTTTTTTTTTTTTTTGTCAGTCATGGGGCTTGAACTCTGGGCCTGGACGCTGTCCCTCAGGGTGAGCGCTCTACCACTTGAGCCACAGCGCCACTTCCAGGTTTCTGGTGTTTCACTGGAGATAAGAGTCTCACGGACTTTCCTGCTCAGGCTGGCTTTGAACCGTGATCCTCAGATCTCAGCCTCCTGAGTAGCTAGGATTACAGGCGTGAGCCACCAGTGCCTGGTGAGAAAAAAATTCTTTAGTCCACTAAAAGGCATCTAAAGTTTTTCAGGGATTGTGGATTGAAGTGGGCCTCTGCTTGCTTAGGCGGGCACTCTACACGGGAGCCACGGCTCCAGCTCTAAAATCATTCTCAATGGGAAAACATTTGAAGCACTCTTTATAATCAAGAACAAGATAAAGTGTCCACAGTGCCAGGCGCAATGATAAGAAAGATAAATAAGACTTGTAAAAGTCAGAAGACAAATAAAAGTATCACTGCTTGCCAGAGACAGGACTTTTGCCACAGAAAAACCAAAATAGAAACACGAAGAGCACTTTAGGAAAGCCCCTGGTTTAAATATGAATACCTAAACTCCATGATGCTCTTTCCATAAGCCAACTGGAATTAAAAAAAATAGCCAGAAGAAAAATCAATGAAAGCATGATTGTGTTTATACAAAGGTAAAAAAGGGGCAAATGGTAAAATTTGCTCTGGGGGGCGTCTATGGTGGGCTGGGGAAGGGTGGAATCTGGGGAGGGAGGTTGGGGGGGGGTCTGTGACTTCAGTTACAAGGCCAATAACCCACATCTTTGTTCTATTTTTTTAGATTGTACATACGTGGTGCACTATAGCTCTACCATTTGAGCCACAACTACATTTCCAGTTTTTTGATGGTTCATTGTAGATAAGAGCCTTACAAACTTTTTTTTAGACAGTCATGGGGCCTGAACTCTGGGCCTGGGCGCTGTCCCTCAGCTCTTCAGCTCAAAGCGAGCGCTCTACTGCTTGAGCCACAGCGCCACTTCTGGCTTATTCTGCTTATGTGGTGCTGAGGAACGGAAGCCAGGGCCTCATGCATGCGAGGCAAGCACTCTACCACTGAGCCACCTTCCTAGTTCCTAGCTCCTCACAGACTTTTTTTTATGGAAGCTAGTTTTAAACTGTGATCCTCAGATCTTAGCCTCCTGAATCGCTAGGATTACAAGCATGAGCCACCAGTGCCCAGAGGCACCGGCATTTTTTGAGAGTCTCACTTCCTGCCTCTGGGCCACCATCTGGCTGTTGGCTTCCAGGAAGCTGTGGTGACAGGTGTACACTATTACCTCCAGCTAGTGGTTGAGAAGGGATATATCTCACTACCTTTTTTGCCTGGGCTGGGCCTTAAACCAGGATCCTCCCAATCTCAGCCTCTCAAGTAGCTACAACTACAGGCATGAAGCTTTGGTGTCCAACTACTATATACTCTTTTTTTTGTTGTTTTTGGTGCTGGTCCTGGGGCTTGAATTCATGTCCTGGGCACTGTCCCCGAGCCTCTCTGTGCTCAAGGCTAGCACTCTACCACTTGAACCACAGTGCCACTTGTGGCCTTCTCTGTGAATGTGGTACTGAGGAATTGAACTCAGGGCTTCATGTATGTTAGGTGAGCACTCTACCACTAAGCCACATTTCCAGCCCCACTATATATTCTTAAAAGGCACACTATCTATACCTGCTTTTAGAGGAATTGGGCAGGATTAGGCAAATACAATTATACTAGTTCCCAGCCAAAGTCATCTCGGCCTCATCTGGCAACAGCAGCCAGCTCTTTCCATGAAGAGCAGGAGCCATGGATGCCCAGACAGCCCTAGGCACTGGGGATGAATGCCGCTATTTACCAGCCACATTTTGTTTATACAAATCCGGCTTCTGGGAAGAAAAGCACACACACTGACCCGCACGGAGACAAAACGCACACTCCATGCTCTCGCCCATTGCCAGGCCTTGTGGAGGAAGATTTGGGGATGATTGTCACTAGGACGGCCTGCACACAACCTGAGCGAGCTGCCAGGAAGGCTGCTCTGGCTCACTAGATCCCCACTGTCTTTGCAAAGCCACTAAGGAAAATGGGGAGCATTTTGCACCCCCTGGTTGAGATGTTTTTTTCTTTCCTTTTTCTTTTTGGTTGGTTGTGGGGCTTAAACTCTGGGCCTGGGCGCTGTCCCTCAGCTCTTCAACACCAGGTTAGCGCTCTACCACTTGAGCCACAGCGCCACTTCTGGCTTTTTCTGCTTATGTGGTGCTGAGGAATTGAACCCAGGGCCTCATGCATGCGAGGCAAGCGCTCTACCACTGAGCCATCCTCCCAGCCCCGAGATGTTTTCATGCTCAACACCCCTTTAACCATTCTGGTGACCAAGGAAATAAACCTCGCAAACATCAACACTTTAGAGCCCCTAAAATGTAGACCCCTGACCCACAATGATGACATGAAGTGAAAAGGATCTCAGGGACCTTTCGTGGGTACAAGCAGCAAGGGCCAGGCGGTGGCCCCTCACCTTCTCAACATCTGCCTTTGTCACATTGATGTCAGCGTCCATTTTCTCAAAGTACTGCTGCGCCCGGTCCGCCTCCTTACAGTCCCGCTCAAACCGTCTCTTACTCTGCGAGAAGAAAAAGTGGGTGTGGGCGACCAAGAAACTATTCTGGGGAGACCGACTCTTTTTTTTTTGGGTCCGGTCGTGGGGCCTGAACTCTGGGCCTGGGTGCTGTCCCTCAGCTCTTCAGCTCGAAGCAAACACTCTACCACTTGAGCCACAGCGCCACTTCTGGTTTTCTGAGTGGTTTATTGGAGATAAGAGTCTCATGGACTTTGCTGTTCGGGCTGGCTTTGAACTGTGATCCTCAGATCTCAGCCTCCTGAGGAGCTAGGATGACAGGTGTGAGCCACTGGCCCTGGGCTGGGAGACCAACTTTTTTCAAAAGCCCCCACTGGAGGATTGTTCTCTGAGCTGGTTTGTTTTGTTTTTGTCGGTCATGGGGCCTGAACTCTGGGCCTGGGCACTGTCCCTCAGCTCTTCAGCTCAAGGTTAGCGCTCTACCACTTGACCCATAGCTCCACTTTCGTTTTTGGTTTTGTTTTTTTTTTTCTGCTTATGTGGTACTGAGAAATCAAACCCAGGGCCTCATGCATGCAGGGCAAGCGCTCTACCACTGAGCCACCTTCCCAGCCCCTCTGAGCTGGTTTGTAAGTCATAATTTCCACAAGTTTATTTTCGGTGCTGGCCCCAGTGCTTGGACTCAAGGCGTGGGCTTTGTCTCTTAGTTTTTCCGCTCAAAGCTGTGGCTCTACCACTTGAGCCACAGCTCCACCTCTGACCTTTTGCTGGTTAACTGGGGATAAAAATCCCATGGACTTTTTGGCTCAGGCTGAACTTGGATCCTCTAGATCTCAGCTTCCTGAGTATGTAGGCATGAGCCACTGGCACCCAGCCACAAGTTTATTTTTTTTAACTTTTTGCAGAGCTGAGGACCAAACTTAGGACCTTGCCTTTGCCAGGCGCTGGTGGCTCACACCTGTAATCCTAGCTACTCAGGAGTCTGAGATCTGAGGACCACAGTTCAAAACCAGCCCAGGCAGGAAAGTCTGTGAGACTCTTATCTCCAATAAACCACCAGAAAAACTGGAAGTGGAATTGTGGCTCAAAGTGGTAGAACACTAGCCAGGAGCACGAGAACTCAGCGACAGTGCTCGGGCTCTCTGATTTGTCCTCTCCCTTGGACTTCTAGAAAAACCACCAGAGTGCTTTCTGGTTTAACATTTTGCTTGAGATAATCCCTCTAGAAGCAAATTAAGTGAAATTCAAATCAGGAAAATAAAAACTACAGGCTCAGTGTTTTTCCCTTGCTTTTTAACTTATGGAGATGAACGCCTAAAAGTCTAATTCCAATAAGCAAGAGTGGAGGGCAGTTCTTTACAAGGGTGTGTCTCTACTTACTGATTCAAGTTGCTTCCAGCAGGTCTCAATGTGCTGCTGTGCCTTCCTCCCATCGTGAAAGTTCTGGAAAGGGGAAACACACCAGTGGTCAGACTTCTATCCTTCTCATGAGACACAGGAGCTAGAACATTTTCATCTACTCGAGTGATAGTCATATATTGACTGTCTGGGCTGGGGATGTGGCTCAGTGGGAGAGTCCTGGCCTAGCAGACACGAAGCCCTGGAGTTTAATTGCTAGCACCAAAAAACAACCAACCAACACTGGACAGCTAGCATGTGCACCTGGAAAAAATGTGAGTTAAGAAAAAAAATCTATATGAATAAAAGGGAAATGAAAACAGCAACAGAAATAAAGTTCCCTTTAAAACTTTAGACACAACAGTATTGAAAATGAAGTCACGCTAGGTACCAGTGGTTCATGCCTGTAATCCTAGCCAATCAGGAGGCTGAGATCTGAGGATAGAAATTCAAGGCCAGCCTAAGCAGGAAAACCCTTGAGATTCTTATCTCCAACCAACCACCAAAAAGCTGGAAGTGGATCTATGGTTCAAGTGGTAAGGAGCTAGCCTTGAGCAAGAAAGTGACAGGACAGCACCCAAATCCCGAGTTTAGGTCCCAGTACTAGCACATGTGAATGAGCACACACAAACATGCACGCACGCATGCACACACACATGATCCATTCGAGAAGACAGGGTACCAAAGAGAACACTTCTAGAAATACAGAGGCCTATTAAAACAGGATGTCTTTTTTTCTCAGTGTCCTGACATTATCTTCTTCCTACCAGACCACCAGTCCCCGGGTCACCAGAACGGATTTCCAGGCCCATTTCCCAGAGGTGACCAGCCTGGACCACATGCACAGCATCCTGCCCTTGTATCTGATTAGACTTGCCATGTAGGTCAGGAATCTGCCTGCAGTTTCCCGTCCCGAGGCCACTGGGCCCTGATGGTGTTTTGAGGACTGGGACGACTGTAGGTCCCTACCATGTCTAGCCTCATCCCTTACGGCTTTTCCTACACCGCATCCATCCTCCATGTTGCCTTTAATAAACCACCCTCCTTCATTAACTGGGTTGAATGTGCTTGGCTTTCTGAGTGGCAGCTAGGCACTGGCAGTTGGGGTGAGTGAGAGAAGAGGGGAGAGGATGGCAGCTAGAAAGGTCCCCCACCCCAGAAGAGCCTGGGAGCGCGGGAGCCTCATTGGGCCACACCCACAACTTCCAAATGCCAGAGAGCAGAGCAGGGGGGTCCAGATCAGAACAGCCCTCCGTCCTTGGGGACCTTGCTCGTCTGTGTTGGAGGAGAAGCTTCACATTTGGGAAGCCTGCCACTCAGCACTGAGTACAGGGGCTTCCCTGGCTGAGCCCACCTCCGCTTCTGGTTTTTCGCTGGTTGGTTGGAGATCAGTCTCTTGGATCTGTCTGCCTGGGCTGGCTTCAAACTTCATCCTCAGATCTCAGCCTCCTGAGTAGCTGGGGTTACAGTGTGAACCTCTAGTGCCAGTCTGCAGTAAGTTTTATCCCTCTGGCATATTCCTTGCTCTCTAGCAACCCAAGAGGAGCCTGTTGAGGCTTAATTTTTCAACTCTCATAATGGGCAGAGATGAAACAGAAAAGAAACAGATTATAAAGCTAATAATAACAATAACAATAACAATAAAGAAGCCAGGAGTAAGGCTGTGGGAGAGTTAAAGAAGCAGAGCCAAGGACAGGTGAGGGGAACTCAGGGTCTGAGGCAGGAGGAAAGAAGGGAAGTCCTCGGGGAGAAAGGGAGGCAGATGAACTGAGGACTGGAGGGGAATCCCAGAGAGCTCTAGAGAGTCCATGTCAACCACGTGGCCTAACTGTGCGTTCTCCATCCCCAGCGGTCCCTTGTCTGCTGGCGTTCTCTCTGCAGAATTACCCACATTCGCAGCAAGACCACAGTGCTCTGCAATTTGCTGGAGGGGTATCCTCTCTCCAAGAAGATGTACTAGAAAAACAAATCACGCCTGTAATCGCAGCACCTGGCAGGCTGAAACACGAAGTCTTGAGTTCAAATTCAACCTGACCTACACCAAAAATAAGGAAAAAGAAAACCTACTTTGGAGCTTTGGCTACAGCAGTTTTCAAAGGAATGAAGGCATGTGTCTGTCTGTGCCTGTGTGTGCCAGCACTGGGGCTTGAACCTGGGGCCTTGGGCTGTTGCCTGGCTTCTTTTATTCAAGGCTGCACTCTACCACCTGAGCCACACCTCTACTTCTAATTCTTTGCTGGATGAGTGAAGATAAAAGAGTCCCACAGATTTATCTCTTAGAGCTGGCTTTGAAACCTTGATTGTCAGATAGCAGACTCCCAAGCAGCTGGGATCCTAGGTGTGAGTCACCAGCTTAAAGGAACAAAGATTTTCATAAATGGCATCTCCCCAGAGCCCAGGGTTGGACATGGGGGAGAGAGGTTGCCTTGGCTTGCTTTTTATTTTTCTTTCTTTTATTTTGTGCTGTGGTGCTGGAGATGGAACCCAGGGATTTATGCATTCTTCATTCTAGACAAGTGCTCTACCATTGAGCTACATCTCTCAGTGTAGCTTAATTTTAAGAGGAATTTCCTCTAACACAACAGGCTTAAAAACAAAAAAAAGTAATAGCCCGGCACCATGCCTGTAATTCTAGCTACTCAGGAGGCTGAGATCTGAGGATCACTGTTCAAAGCCAGTCTGGGGGCTGGGAAGGTGGCTCAGTGGTAGAGGGCTTGCCTTGCATGCAGGAGGCTCTGTGTTCCATTCCTCAGCACCACATAACCAGAAAAGGCCAGAAGTGGCGCTGTGGCTCAAGTGGTAGAGTTCTAGCACTGAGCTCTTCAGTTCAGCGACAGCGCTCAGGCCCAAAGTTCAAATCCCACAACTGACATAAAAAAAAAAGTAATATTTTGGGATCATGGAGATGATTTAGACTGAAGACCATGTAGTAAGTTTTCTTGCCATTTTTAATTTCACATGTCTAATAAACATGCTATTTTTTTCTTTCTTTTTTTCCCCAGAACTGGGTATTAGACTAGGGCTTTGAGCTTGCAACTGCTCTAGAACTTGAGTCACTTTCTAGTTCCATACATTAATTTTTCACAGATTCTCCCCCCTCCTCCTGGTTCTGGGATTTGAACTTGGCCTCCAGTTTGCTAGGCAGGTACTATGTATGCTATGGATCCATGTCCTCAGCCCTTTTTGCTTTTACTTGTCTTGGCAAAGCTAGGATGTCAGGGGTATGCCAACATGCCCTGCTTTTTATTGGTTGAGCCAGTGTCCCCCAACCCTTTTACTCAGGCTGATCTCAAACTGTGATCCTCCCAGTCTCGGCCTCCAGAGTAGCTAGGATTACAGCCCATGCATTTGTCTCTACAGAGCAATGTGTACCTTACTTTCTTGGTGGACTCTGACCCAGGAAGATTTCCCAGTCACCCATCACCCTCTTTAACTGAACAGGTACCTACAAACTGCAATAGAAACCCAGTTGTCACTATTACAACGCTTAAGATTTAGAAGCTGGGTGTTGGGTGTGCGGGTCACTACATAAAAGCTGAGACCTGAGAATCGCCGCAGTTCAAAGCCAGCGCAGACAGACAAATCCAAGAGCCTTTGATCTCCAGAAGTGGAGGTGTGGCTCAAGCAGTAGAGCACCAGCCTTAAGCAGGAAAGGCTAGGTGGGAGTTCTAGGCCCCGAGTTCAAGACCCACAACTAGCACCAAAAGAAAAAGAGAAAGCAGCGATGTATGTGGTGGTGATTTCCGTCCATGCTGAGTGGCTGTCCGGGGCTTCTTGAGTTAGGTAATGTATTCTGTGCCGAGTGGCTGGCAGGGAATGCAGGGATGGACAGAGGGCCACGGTGCTCCGACCACACCTGACCCAACCAGCTCCCTCCAGCCTCCTTCTAGAGAAAAGCAACGTAAACAGTTACGAAGCTACACAGCCCGCCAGATGCCCTGGCAGCTTGCTAACAGACAATGGCAGGCACTTCTTCTGGGACAGTGAGCGAGTGTGTCTAAGTACACACAAGCCCAAGCTGTCAATAAAGAGCAATTGTTCCTGGGCTGAGATAATACAGTGCTTCTTTCCCAGCCCTGGAATGAGGTCACACGGCTCTCTCCCCCTATCAGAAAGGAGACAGGAAATGCCATCCCCTGGGACTCAGAAATGCTCTTTACTTTCTGCTGTAAGAAGATGCTTTGGGTTTTTTGAAAGACACACAATAATAGACTTAAAAAAAAAAAGCCTGATTTTTAGGGATGAAAGTTACCATGACTGCATTGCATCTGAATGTTTAGTTTAGTTTTTTTTGAGTCTCTCGAGGAAAAAAAAAAGCCATTTTTCAAAAACTTTAGTGGACATTTCCTAGTGACCCTGGGATAGCTGAGATTTAAAAAAAAGAAAGAAAAGAAAAATGAAAGAAAAGCCACAGAAAATCTAAAAGAAGCAAATAGAAGCTCAAAGAAAATGACAGATTTTACTGTATGGCAGGAAAGTGTCCCAGGGCTGAACAGGTGTGTGAAGGCCTCGCTCCGCGTCGGATTCCACACAGGTGCACGCGACGCCCTCAATAGTTTAAAGAGCAAACTACTGATGTGAGAGCGGTTTTCAAAAAAAAAAAGTATATAAAAAAACCCAGACGTGTAAACACTCAGAGGCGGAAGCCAGCCATCAGGGACTTTAAATACAACTCAGATCCCACGGAGGAGAACAAAGGCATACAAGACTTTAAAAGGGAAAGAAAGAAGCTTCCAGAAAGCAAGTCCATGACAAACATTGCCATTTCCTCCAGCAGAAGCACAACACTGAGGCATGGGCATGGATGGTCTCCATGTCTGACACACACCAGGTGTGTGTGTGTGGTGTGTGTGTGTGTGTGTGTGTGTGGTGTGTGTGTGTGCATGCATGTGTGTATCTCTAGTCCTGGGGCTTGAACTCAGGACCTGGCAAGGTTGGCACTCTACCACTTGAGCCACAGATCACAGATCCATTTCTGGCTTTTCTGGTGTTAATGGGAGATAAAAGCCTTACAGACTTTTCTGCCTGGGCTAGTTTCAAACGTG